GCTCTTCCAGCAGCACAACGAGGCCATCAACGTCTGGACCCACCTGGTGGCAGCGCTGATCCTGCTGCTGCGCTTCCAGCAGCTCTCGCAGCGGGTGGATTTCGGGCAGGACCTGCACGCCCAGCCCCTCCTCATCATCATCGCGGCATCCATCACCTACCTGACCTTCAGCACCCTGGCTCACCTCCTGCAGGCCAAATCCGAGTTCTGGCACTACAGCTTCTTCTTCATGGACTACGTGGGGGTCGCCATTTACCAGTACGGCAGTGCCCTGTGCCACTACTACTACGCCATCGAGCCGAGCTGGCACGAGAAGATCAAGGGGTTTTACGTGCCGGCGGCCGTCCTCTTGGCCTGGCTGTCCTGCGCCGGTTCCTGCTACGCCAAATACCAGTACCACCAGTCCGCTGGCCTCCTGAGCCGGCTGTGCCAGGAGCTGCCCTCAGGCCTGGCGTACATGCTGGACATCAGCCCCGTGGTCCATCGCATCTACACCGCGCCGCCCTCGCAGCAGAGCGACCCGGCCCTTCTGTATCACAAATGCCAGGTGCTGTTTTTCCTCATCGGCGCCTTTTTCTTCTCACACCCTTACCCCGAGAAGTGGTTCCCTGGCAAATGTCACTTTTTCGGGCAGAGCCACCAGATTTTTCACGTGTGCCTGGTGCTGTGCACGCTGGCGCAGATCGAGGCGGTGGTGTTGGACTACGAGTCCAGGCGCCACATCTATTCCGCTCTGCAGGGTGATTTGGCGCACAACTTCTCTGCCCTGTGCCTCTTCACCGTGACCTGCTCTGTCCTCACAGCCGCTTACATGGCCAGGAAGGTGAAAACCAAGCTGAGCTTCAAAGACGAGTGAGGGCCCTGCAGGAGAAGCTGGTGAGCTCATGGATGTTTGATCTGCAGCTGATCTGGCATGAATCCGGCCGTGAACTTCGAGCAGAGCAATGAAACGCTTTGTGAACTGTTACTCGGCAGTGCTTTCTGTAGTGAGGAAAAATAAGAGCTGCTCTTCATGCATTTTTAATTTCAGAATTAGTTCCAGCTTGCTCTTAAAATGGTACACTGCTTTAATCACATGTCTGAATAAACAGTTGGAACAAAATGGTGTGAGCTCCGCAGCCCTGGGCCCTGGCAGTGCTGGGCTGGGAACGGTTCTTGGAAGTGGCCGTGTCTCACAGCTAAAGGTAAGGAGGGAGGGAACTGGACTGGGGTGAGTGTGTAGAAACCACAACCAAAGGTGGCAGATTTATTTAATGTCATTTCAGGCCTCTTTTATACGGCTTGGGGAGTCATACAGAGCAGAAAGCAGAGCTGACAGTGCAGTAAGAGGCGAGGCAGCATGGCTGGAGTTGATGTGATGGGGGCTGAGCACCAAGGCAGTAAGTGGGACCCCTGCACCCTCTGTGGTGGATGAGGCCCTGTTTGAAGCGCCCAACCCAGATGGGAGCAGCAGATACAAACGCAGGGCAGGAAACAGCTGGGCCTGGGGCTGCCCC